AGCACAAAATATCTCCACTTCAGCATAAAATATCTGCAAAAGAGCAGAAAAATGTGAATAAGCATAATCTGTCTATGCTATATCTATATAGCTGTAAAACATTTATTAGTCCCAAGAAAACCTCGATTTTGACATTTTTCTTTCCTCATTTACCAGAACAAACTGCTGAGTTTGAGTGTGCTCAAAGATGTTTTATTCTACAGGGTATCGAGCATGAGCAGTTGTTAATTCACAAAGCAAGAGTAAAAAAAAAAAAAGCTAGGTCAGCTTATTAATACCTTCACTGCTATTATATAGGTCAAGAGAGAGGGAAATTAGTAGAAAAACAGAGAATCTATACTTTGCTAGATTGAAAAATCCAACTATTATTGGGTAGAGCACAGAGAATAAGCTAGTGGAAAAAAGGCAAGAAGGGTTAGGAAAGATTCTTCTTTGGTAATTTAATACTTATTTACTGACAACTGTCATCAGGATGAGTAACAATAATCTTAGGAATCTAGTTACCAGGTGAGTTTTACAGGGTGAACTGTATTTTACATTAGGAAGGATATAAACTATCATAAAAAAAAAACAAAAAACCCTAAAAACAGAACAAGGGAGGAAGTTCCTAAGAATGGCTACTTTTTGGTCTTTAGTGCAAATGTCACTCCCTATTCTTCCAGAGAAATAGGAAATGTTTATTGCATATTTAATAAAAAGTAATGTTATTCTCTGGGGAAAGTATGATATTATCAGAATGTCAATCCATCAGAATAATTCTTTCCTTGTTCTAATCATTTAAAGCAGAAGTTAGGCACAAAAAAATTGCCTGAAATCAATCCTTTCAAAGTAAAAGAAAATATACCAGATCTCCAGATCTGATACTTCTGATTTCTACTCTCTAGCTTCACCTTCTGAAAATAACCTTCACTGCTATTATATAGGTCAGGAGAGAGGAAAATTAGTAGAAAAACAGAGAATCTATACTTTGCTAGATTGAAAAATCCAACTATTATTGGGTAGAGCACAGAGAATAAGCTAGTGGAAAAAAGGCAAGAAGGGTTAGGAAAGATCCTTCTTTGGTAATTTAATACTTATTTACTGACAACTGTCATCAGGATGAGTAACAATAATCTTAGGAATCTAGTTACCAAGTGAGTTTTACAGGGTGAACTGTATTTTACATTAGGAAGGATATAAACTATCATAAAAAAAAAAAACCCTAAAAACAGAACAAGGGAGGAAGTTCCTAAGAATGGCTGCTTTTTGGTCTTTAGTGCAAATGTCACTCCCTATTCTTCCAGAGAAATATGAAATGTTTATTGCATATTTAATAAAAAGTAATGTTATTCTCTGGGAAAAGTATGATATTATCAGAATGTCAATCCATCAGAATAATTCTTTCCTTGTTCTAATCATTTAAAGCAGAAATTAGGCACAAAAAAATTGCCTGAAATCAATCCTTTCAAAGTAAAAGAAAATATACCAGATCTACAGATCTGATACTTCTGATTTCTACTCTCTAGCTTCACCTTCTGAAAATAGATGTGGATAAGCAAGTATTTTGTATGTGTTTTAAATAAAGAACAGTGTTGGGCTACATGAAATTATAAAATTATACAGTAGTTTAAAAAAAAAAACCTCTTTTAAATATAAACTGACTAGAAATAAACAGAAAAGGATTTTCTTTAGATAATTTCTATCCTTGTTGACAGATGCGGCTGCAGCCCTGTCTTATCTTGAAATACTGACTCTCTCTCTCTCTCTCTCTCTCTCATAAAACACACTGGGCCCTTGCTGTCTGTCAAGTCCTACATATCTGAGGTAACTGAACCACACCTAGAGAATCAGTGCCACAGTATTACTCAGGAGATTGCAGGCGTGTCTACCTGTCTACCTGAAGAAGCCATGCAAAGCATGTTAGTTCATGTTCTGGTTAATCCAAAGAACCACTATTACAACCTCCTTTTCTTCCCCAAGTATTCCAAGGGGCCCTTGGAATTACACAACAGAGAACCTGCTTAGAATAAAATAAAAGTATGAAATTATGAATCTGTTCACCTAAACTCTGCTCCTAATTCTACTACTGTGCGTTCACTCTTTAAATTCCAATTTCTCCAGATATACAGTGGATATCATAGGTTATCAGTTTTCCAAAGATGTTCAACAATAAATAAAATATCCACAAATCATTTAACTTCTTGGGAAAAAATGAAGGATATATAATATATACGAAAGAATACACACATTTTTTAAAGAATACACACATTTATTAACCACACAAGAAACATCTTAACATATCTCACTGGAGAGGAAGTAATTTTCTCTCAAGTTAACAACTAGAATGCAGAGCTGAGCAAATTAACTGGTATTCAATAAATGCTTTAATGGACAAACTTCACATAATCTTTTATTAGGTGAATAGAATTTGCTGTGCTATTCCGTTCTAATCAAAATAGCATAGTTTTAGATAACCCAGGCCTTTATGAAAGTTCAGCATCACAGTTAAGTATGCCATAAAAAAATAAAATTCAAAATAGTCACCACATAAACAATATTTACATATTACTTTGTTACAATAAGATTTAATTTGGCCTTTATTATTTAAAGGCACCAAATGTGTCAATTACCTAACATCATGACAGTCTGAAATAGCCCACTTCACCTGCTGGACTAAAGTGGCTTTCAGTACATTTATAAACTAAGTCAAGTTACCAAGGGAAAGGGAATGCAGGACACTACTAGCTCCTTCATGGTTCAGGGGCTAACCAGAGAGTCAGGAAACTTGTGAAGACTATCTATTCAATTCATTTCTATTTGTTCATATATATTTTGATGCAGGAGGAAAGAGAGAGAATGAAATTCTCCTGGAATTAAGTTCTGTGTTGTCAAGGATGCCGGAGAGGCAAACAGACCTCAAATGTGAACTCTTGCATCTATGGAATTAAGGTTAAAATATAAAAAATTTCAATATGCTCAAGGGAAAATCTGAGATAAAAGAGAACCACAACAATGTAAAGTCAGTCTTACTTCACTTTCAAAGGAAAATGAATATAACTAATTTGCTTCAGTTTGAACCAATTTCCTTCGGAATATAATGCAGCAGTTGTAGAACTCAAACTAAAGAGTTATCACTGCCTATTCTGATGTCCACTTTAGAAACTAAAATATAAATAAAGCAAAACTTTTGAATAGAAACATTATCTGCTGAAAGAGAGTGAAATATGTGGTACACAGATTGCTGAAAATATTTAAATATTTTAAGAGGACTTAAATATAATAGAGGCATATATGTGATGCCCAAAGATAAATCACCAGCATGAAACCCAAGGTCTGAATTCCACTTCCATCACTTACCCCTCACATGGAACTGACTTCTCTTTAAGAGTCTAGGACCTTTTTTTAAAGCCTAAGTATTCCCTGATCTCTTTTGCTAGCTCCCAACTCCCACCACCCAGTGTTAACAAAATTTCCTGGTGTGTACTGGCATTCTCTTCTCAAATACAACAAATGATCTACCCTCAAATTTATCCCTCTATTCAACTTTTGACCTAGATTAGTAAACTTCAGAGGACTCTATTATAATAAAATAGTGCAATAAAACAGTGCTTCTCTAGAAAGGGATAATGGTATATGCTTCTTCATCCTCCTCAAGTGATCTTGGATCTTCCTTAGAGGTGGTAAATAAAGTAGTTAATAAAAAATTTCCCTCCAAAAACACAGTATTCTTTTCTTAAATGTGCCTCCTTTATTCAACTTTCTGAAACCTCTCTGTCCTTTCACTCCAAACCCATGAATACTTGCCTCCTTCCTCATATCCTACTTCCCAGTCCAAAGCCCCACAAAGGAAATAGATTTCAACGAAACAGAAAATTCTATAAGTTTGTGGAGTTAGCAGTGGAAACACTACAAATGAACTGCAGATTGCTTTTTTTTAATACTAATGAACAATGCAAATGAGTAGTTAGAAGCAAAAGATCTCAGCAAACTGGAGTTAGGGATGAGAGGAGGGATTTTCAAAATGTTAATACTTTCATTTATTATCTTCCACAAAAATTTTTCATTAGCAATCAGCATAGGTTTCAAACGAACTGCTTTAACCTTCTGAACCTCAGTTTGTTCATCTGTAAAATACTGAAACTAACAGTATCTTCACCTCAGAGGGTAATAGTGAGGATTAAACAGGTTACACATGCAAAGCCAAGAAAATAGTGCCTGGCATATAAAAAGACTAAAAAAAAAAAAAAAGTTAGTTTAAAAGAATTCTGAAGAATGTGGTACCCTTGCTTTCATCCAGAAAACACAAATCTTTATATTTTACTGTAAAATAGTATGTATACACTAATCCTATTCACTTAATATTTCAATTTAGAAATTCTGAATGGAATATTTGGAATATTCATTTAGATGAGATCAAATCAACCATTAGCAAAAGTTTTATACTAACAGAATTTTATTGGAAATACTTAGAAGTCATTTACTGATAAAAATAACTGTCATGAAACTTAAAAAATAGTGCAAATTCAGCTGTAATCATATGCAGCTGTTCCTTTCAAAATTAAGTCACCATTTGTTCTCTTTTTCTGACACCACAGTACTCTGCTTTCACTAAAAGCCTGTAACAAGGAGCAGCTTCTTCGGTATCAAAACCTTTTGGAAACCTGGCTCAGAGCAAGCCAGTCACTGTTTACAGCGCTAGAAAGGATCTGTGTGGTCACTCTAGGACAACTGTCAGCAGCACGTCTAGATATCTCACAGGGACTCGGGTCATGCAGAAATGTAGGTGTAGGCTAGTATCTGAAACAAAGTCGGCGGCTAGGGTGCCTGAAAGGGGAGAGGTTTTCCACTGAGACTCATAAAGGATGAAGGTCTAACCCCGAGCAAGCGGTCTCGCAGGGCAGATCAGTTCCGGGGGTGCCCGCTGGCTCCGGCAGGAAAGGGACGCAGGTGTCGCCCTCCCTCGAAAACCCCACCGCTTTCTTCCCGGCGCCGCCGCCCCCTCCCGCCAGCTCCCCATTTACCTTTCTCGTCCTCATCGATGCGCAGGGCGACGGAGATGTACTCGAAGGCCTGTTTGTGGAACGCTCGGACGCGCTCGGCCTCCCCGCCTGGCACCGGTGCCGGGGGCGAGGCCGAGGCCGGCGCGGCCCCGGAGCTCCTCTTGGCGGCCATGAGGGCGCGGGAGAAGCGCTGGCAGAGCCACACGAAGAGGAGCCCCAGGTGGAAGGCGACCAGACGCAGCAGCGCGAAGCCTACGAATAGCGGGTAGGAGAAGTAGTACAGGTTCCGCTTATGCGGCGATTGGGGCGGAGGGGCCGGCTTGGGGGCGGGACGGGAGCGGGCCAGGCAGGGGGGCGGAGGCCTGGGAGGCACCGGGCTGCTGGGGCCGCCGGAGCCTTTCTTCTTCCCTCGTCCACCCGGAGAATTCATTCACAGCTCCCACTGCCGCCGCCGCCATAACCCGCCTCCCGCAGACCGACGGCGGCCAAGCGACGGCGGCGGCCACTGGGACGGCAAGGGCCACAGACCCCCGCGCGCCCCCCGGTCCCAGGAGCAGTGCACCTCCGCGCGCTGCTCGCCGGCCCCGCCCCTTTCTCCTCACACGTCCGGGAGCACAACCCCTTCTCCTCCTCCGCCGGTCGGTGGCTCCTGCCCCTCCCTCTCTCTGTCCTCTCGGCCGCTCGGTAGCTCAGAGCGGCGGCCGGGAGCGCAAGCGCAGCCCGTCAGACTCTTTCTCCGGCGCGTGCGCGCACGTCGCCGTCTTTGTTGCCCTGAGCTCCTTGTGCGCGTGTGCGCCGCTCGCCATTCCGTCCGTTCCCCCGCGGAACTACACTTCCCAGTATGCAGTTCGGCCTACTTAGCCCTTGGGGACCCGTAGCTCAATCGATTTCGCTGACCCTGGCAGCTGGATATCAGGGCACCTAGACATTCAACTCAAGGAAGGGACAGCTGCAGCCTGGGGTCCTTCGACTAGTTCGCAGGACTTGCAATGTCATCGTTTTCTTATATTTATTTCAGCATTTTCTGCCAATCTTCCACAAGGAATGGTTGATCTCAGTTCCACCGCAAAAGTAATGGGTCCAATCTAGTAATTATTACCTGAGAAAATTGAGGTTGTTCAGTTCAGTTCAGTTCAGNTTAACCACTGGAATGCCAGAGAACTTATCTGAATTTTGTTTATTTTCTTTCTTTTTAAAAAAATTTGTTTAAAAAAAAGTTTCTTAGAAAAGAAAAGAATTCTTTTCCTCTAAAGAAAAAGTAAAAAAAAAAAATCTCTTCACTTTTTACAAACCCTTGTGTCGAGGGCTGACTTTCAATAGATTGAAGCAAGGGGCTGTTCTGCTATATAGGAAACCTCGACCCAGAAGCAGGTTGTCTGCAAATGGTTTAGCACCAGGTCCCCCAGGAACATGCAGTGTGTGATGGGTAAGGGGGTATGCTGAATTTTGTACTCATCGTTTTTCTCCTTTTCATTTTAGTTTCATGTAAACATTAACATGTATAAACATGTTATGTAGTTGCCTGGCTTTTACTTAATATAAATATAATCATATTGCACGTATTCTTCTTAATTTGATTTTTCTGTTCAATATTAAGTGTTTGAGGACTTCCCTGGTGGTACAGTGGCTGAGAATTCGCCTGCCAATGCAGGGGGCACAGGTTCAATCCCGGATCCAGGAAGATCCCATATCTACTGAGTCTGCACTCTAGAGCCCTTGGACCACAATTACTGAAGCCTGTGTGCCTAGAGCCTGTGGTCCGCAACAAGAGAAACCACCACAAGAAGAATGCGCACCACCGGAAGGCTTGTTCCCACTTGCCGCAACTAGAGAATGCCCGTGCACAGCATTAAAGACCCAGCACAGCCAAAAATAAATAAATATTAAGTATTTGAGATTCCTTCTTGTTGGTTTGTATAGCTTTAGTGTATTTGTGTTCACTGCACCTGTTGAAGGGTATTTAGTTTGGTGCCAGTTTTGTTTTTTTCCCCGCTAAGTAACTAACTTCTTAATTAGCCAAGACACGGCACAATAGTAGAGTGGTTCTGGAGTCAGACTGCTTGCATTCAAATCCCTGTTCCGCCACCTTTTTTGTACTAGTGGCTCGGCCGGCCTCCACGTCTGTAGTTCAGCTTCCACACCTGTTACGTAACAGAGTAGTAGCTAGTGCCTGGAATGAAGTTGCAGCTGGATATTTGTTGAATGAGTTCTCCCACATCTATACATATATTATAATCCAAGTAAAATAAAATACTGACAAATTTCTGAGCACTCTTTGCTCTTTCCCAGGACCACAGTTATCCTCAGGTCATTTTTATTTCTTTTAGAATTGATTTTCCTCCTACTTCCACCGTCAAAATCCTTCAAGGCTCTAATGTTATCTTCTTGATAAATCCTCCCCTTACCACTTCCAGCAGAAATTTTTTTTTAATTCTTATAACAATATGGTTGTGTTACTCTGTGGTTCTTCTAATGTATAGTTTGTGTTATTTAAATACTTTATTACCTCCTGATATAGTTTATAAATGCTTTTCAAGGCAGTGGCCAAACTTTACACATTTTGGTTCACTTTCTGCACCTAGCCTGATGCCTAGATTATGGTACTCATTTAATAAATATTAATATTTTGAAAAACAATTCAAATATGGTAATTGCTATAGATATCTGTTGCTATGGGCTTCCCTGGTAGCTCAGCTGGTAAAGAATCCACCTGCAATGTGGGAGACCTGGGTTTGATCCCTGGGTTGGGAAGATCCCCTGGAGAAGGAAATGATTACCCACTCCAGTATTCTTGCCTGGAGAATTCCGTGGACTATATAGTCTATGGGGTCACAAAAAATCGGACATGACTGAGCAACTTTCACTTTCTGTTGCTATGTACTTAACCACTCCAAAACTTACTGACTTAAGATAACCATTTATTTACTCACAGTTCTGTAAGTCAGCAACTTGGACTGAGTTTGGCAGGGTGGTTCTTCTGCTGGCCTTGCCTGGGTTCATTTATATGAATGCAGTAATCTACTACAGGCTTGACTGGGGCTGGATGGCGTAGCTATATTCATTCACATGTCCAGATGCTGGTGGTGGCTATTGGCTGGGGCATGTATCGCCAGCAGAATATTCCATATCTCTTTTTTTTTCTTTGTAACTTTTTATTTATTTTATTTTTGGCTACACTGGGTTTTCCTTGCTTTTCATGGCCTTTCTGTAGTTGCAGTGAGAGGGGGCTACTCTTCATTTCAAAGTGCACTTCTCATTGTAGTGGATTCTTTTTTTGCCAACCACAGGCTCTAGGCACACAGGCTTAATAGTTGCGGCTCACAGGCCCTAGAGTGTGGGCTCAGTAGTTTTGTGGGCTTCCACAGCATGTGAAATCTTCCCAGAGCAGGGACTGAACCCATGTCCCCTGCACTGGCAAGCAGATTCTTATTCACTACACCACCTGGGAAGTCCCACCATACTTCTTTATATAGCGTCTGGCTTCCAACAGAGCATGAAAGGAAGATGTAAATCCTCTTTAAGCCTAAATTTCAAAGTTCCATAATGTAATTTCTGCTGCATTCTATTATCAAAGCAAGTTATATGGCCAACCTCAATGGAAGACTTGGGAAAATAAATTCCACATCTCAATGGAGTAGTAGCAAAGTCACATTGCAAAGAAGTGTACATATATGGATGAAAGGAATTATTGTGGCCATCTTTGCAGGTAATCTACCACAGTGATTGTAGGTGATTGAGAATTTCCTCAATTTCAGATTAGAGCTTAAGATGGATTGCTCATCTAAGAAAGCATTTCCCAGCCATTTTGCTGAGTCATCAAAACATTCCGAGGTACAGTAACATACTTAAGTTTAAGGAGACAACAGCAACAGTAATAATGATGACTACTATTAGTAGTTAACATTTATTGAACCCATATTCTAGGCTAAACAGGTTAACTTGACTGTTGTAGTCAATCACCACTATTTTAAGCCTTATTGCCTCCATTTTTCAAAATAAGGAATTTGAGGCTCCTAAGAGCCTGTTAGTTGCCCAACATCACATATTAGTTAATGACACAAGCTACTTTAGGGTTTTAAGTTTAAAATCTAGGCCTCCAAAGAAAAACATTTTTATATAGACTGTTTATATTTTATTAATCTTGAAATAAATATATCACTAGCCCCTAGAACAAGAGTGATCTTTCATTCCTGAGCCTCCAGGTATTGGCTTTTTGACCCCTTGACTCCCACTTGCTAGATCTCTGCTATCCAGTTGTTCTTAACATTGACTGCTTTTCTATACCTCCCCCCCCCCCCCCCCCNTTCCCCATTTTCAGATGGCAAGAACTTGCAGGACACTTAATCTTGAAGGGAATCTGGGCCAGTTTCACCAGGACAAAAAGGAGTACCTGAGTACTGTGCGAACTAATCCAGGACATTTGGTCACTTTATCACTTTAACCCATTAATTTATTTAGAAAAAGATTACCACTTAATAGTTGTTTTTTTTAAATATATATATTGTAAATCTTCTTCTCTTCTAAGAAATTCCCCAACCTTCAGTTTGAATGATGCTGAATTATTTAAAGTAGGGACCTATGACACTTATTAAGGATTTCTTTTCAATTCATAATAAAAAAAAAAAAGTAAAATGAAGTGGTGCACCTAGAACCAAGAGAAGAGATAACTGATTTTGAAAAAGGCAGAAAATGTAAGAAAGAAACATTAAACATGGTTGGAGATAAGGAATGGCAAGAGTAGAGAAACAATTTGGGAATTTTTATCCTATAGCTATGTTTATAAGCAAAAGCATGAAAGAAAGAAAGTAAAATTGCTCAGTCATGTCTGACTCTTTGTGACCCCATGGACTGTAGTCTACCAGGTTCCTCTGTCCATGGGATTCTCCAGGCAAGAATATTGGAGTGGGTTGCCAAAACATAGTTGTGAACAATTAATCATTTCTCCACATTGTGACATAATATTTATTCATTCATTTGTTCAACAAACATATTAAGCACAGACACCCTGCCAGGTGATGAGTAAGGTGCCAGGACACAGTAGGGAATAAGAGCAAGTTTACAGTCCAATACATGGCTAAAAAACTTAAATAGCAAGTAGCGACAGTGGTCAGACATATATATATAAATTCCATGTGTGGATGTGGAATTCAAAAATGTATATATGATGTGAATAATAAAGATTTTGAAAAATAAATAAATTCTTAAAAATATTTTGAGAACTTAAAGAGTAGCATTCCCTTATTAGATGTGACAGCTGTTGGTCGGCTCCAGCTCTTTGCCTTTCAGATATGTGTGCCTCTGTTGGCAAAGTTTTAAAACATTTAAAGAGAAACCAGAATTCTGAATTTTTATGTGAAATTTATTGCTCAGGAGATGTTGGCTCAAGATTTGAAAACAAACAAACCAAAACAAAAGTGAGGCACCAGTTTAAGATTCTGTAGTTTGCAGAGGATTTGTTACTAGGGAAAGTATGGATGAGCTCATGGTTTTGAAATAGTAGTAGGTTTAACAGTATAATTTGTTACCTAATTTCCTCAGCTCAGTTTTTAAAGCTGTGAGGCTCTAGAGGCAGAGCAGAGTCAGTTAACCTGGGATAGTAAACGAATGCGGTAGAATGGCAGTTTAAATTACAGAAGGTATATTCAGTCATCACTCTAAAGAAAATACTTGGGTATGTAAATATGTTACATTTCTATGTTTATGGCGGGCAAGGCATTTA